ATGAACGGGAAGGAAAACGAAAGAGAAGGAAGATGAGAAATGAAATTTAGGATATCGGAGTGACCCGCGAGATTTTAATAAAGAGTATAGATAATGCTGTTCTGAAACCAGCCTGACTAGACAAAGAACGTTGGACGTTAAAACCACATTCGTCAACCACGCACCAAAGATATTCTAATTAAAAGGGACCTCTTAACTTCTTTAGTAAGTCCCGAAATCCAATTTGCTTCCTTCGAAGCGCTTGTCCGATAATTAAGCTACCTTCGGGCGATTAATTGTCTTATGCGACGGTCGCAGATACCTCTCAGGCCGGAATACATATATCTCGAAGAAAATTACTTGAAATTTTTTACTCGCGCTAAATCCTAAGAGCCCATAACGACGTTTCTTTTGTAATGTAATGTGAATTTATGTTTAGACCGATGATCGTGACATCGACGCTGTCATTTTAAGAGGAAGTAAATGGTTTTTTGTATTTTCGATTAATATACAGCTCTTTTTTTCTTGATCCTATTGTTATGTTCTATGAATCTCTTTATATCTATACACTTTTCTTTCTTTAATACACCAAGATTTTGATATCAAAGCCTGAAACCAAAAATGACTATCTGTTCTTTCGTGTTAATGAATAAGGATTCGCGTATTCAGATTTCAAGGTATTTTTAAAACTAAATATTATAAGCACTCTTTCAAAGATGACATAGAAATAAAATCGCTTTGCGCTAACCTTCGAGGTTTCAAACTCGACCTGCACATTACAAGTACTTGTTTTAAAATATTAGTGGCTTTAGTGTGATACTAATACCTGAACGTTCATTATATAAACTATGATATTGCATTCTAAAAAATAAATAACTGAACATGAGATGGGAATAAATAGACCGATCTCACCAAGCGTTCGACGCATGCGCAACGCAGCCATAACTTTAGTTCACACTAGGCAATCGGCAGTGCAGACTGTTCATGCCCTGCACGCGCAGAGCTCCAGCGAGGTTGTCGCATGCGCAGAAAGACTAAAGTTTCCTGGATGCATTGCGGCAGCGGTGGCGTAGTTAAACTGGCTGGTGAGATCGGTCTATTAAGGTGGTATTCATACAATGTTGTCCTCTGACCGCCAAGAATAATTGGTGTACCACATTCTACACTTATACCTCTTTCTTTTTGGCAACATTCACACTTTAGTTTGTTAAGAGTTCAAAGCGCCTTTTCAACGGTCACTGAGAGATTTGAAAAGATCCGGACAATATAAAAACAATTCAGCGTTCATAAGTGCTCGAATGTGTTTTCCCGACTTATATGTCTCGATGACATTGGTGTCCGAATATTTCACACGCGGCTATATTTTGATTCTAATCTGGTGAGTATTCCGCGATTACGCGAAGTATTTTCCCTTTAAATGGGGAGTGTTAACTGGCGCCATCTATCGTCGTGGACTACCCAATCACCAGTCGAGGCGGCAGTCTGGGCTGTCTCGGCCTAACGGCTGTCTCGCCTGCTCAAGAGGGATCGCTCTTCTTAAGAAGCACGCGCGTGTGAAAATCAAAACGTGACAGACCGAACAGCGCGATGCACGTGCGTGCTCCAACGCTGGGTAACCCCACTGCTTTTCAACTTATGGCGATTTCCACTGGGCGTTTTGGAGCGCGCCGGGATCAGTTGACCAGATCCGGATTGGAGCACAAGATCCGAACGGGGTCGCGCCGCCTACAGATCCTCAGTGGAACATGACCACTGCTCCGGGATCGGCGGATGCCTTCCCGTCATTCAACTGCCCGGGAATCCCCTTTTCGCGGCTGCCGCGGTCGTTTCGAAGACGTTTTCGCTACGCGGAGCTAACACGTGTTCGACGCACGAGTGGCAGGGATGGCTCAGGCGCTTCTAGCAACGATTGCCGGAATGCCCGTAGCGCGGCAAATACATTCTCGTCTCCTTCCTGGAAAACGAACCGGCTGTCGAGCCAAGCGGTAAGCAAGCGGCCATTAGGAATTCTTCTGATGTCGAGACAATCTAGGAGCCCAGCCCGTGTCGTGCTTCTTCTTCTCCTGAGGCGAAATGGGCGAGATCAGGCGAGATGCCCCACGAGAAAGGAAATCACGTGTGTGCGCCGAGGGCTTCGAAATCGTGGGAGCGACTTTTCTCGTGGCGAATTCCACGGGTCGTTTTGGAGCGCGCCGGGATCGATTTTTCCGGAGCGAGCCTATTTCACTGGGCGATCGGGATCGAGACGAACTTGTTCCACTGGTCGTTTTGGATTAGCTCCCGCTCCAGATCTCGATCTGGATCCGAGAAAACTCGCTCCCCCGATTTCGGCGGATTCAACCGGAAGCCAGCCGGGTCAGCCCTCGGCGCATACACGTGACTTCCTTTCTCGCGGGCATCTCGCCTGATCTCGCCTCAGAAGAAATGGTAATGGCCGCTTGCTTACCCCTTGGCTCGACAGCCGGTTCGTTTTCAAGGAAGGGGAAAAGAAGAAAAGGTTTTGCCGCGCTACGGGCATTCCGGCAATCTTTGCTAGGCGCTCCTGAGCCATTCCTACCGCTCGTGCGTCGAACACGTGTTAGTGCCGCGATCTCGAAAACGTTGATGTTTGGAACTTGGAACCAGCCGCTACCAGGGGTGCTATGTAGCGCTTTTTGCACTCCCAGAAGACTTGGAAGAGGGAAGTGACGTCAACGACACAGCAAATGCAGATTGGATGTTGACAGAAGAAAACGAAATCAACACCCAATCCGCGTTTGCTGTGTCGTTGACGTCACTTCCCTCTCCCTAGTCTCCTGGGAGTGCAAAAAGCGCAACATAACCCCCCAGACACCTGATTTGTTTAAAAAAAAAAACAGGACGTTTTGGGGAAATGAATCGATCACATAGCAGGCGGTAGACAAGTGGACAGCGTTGAAAACTATTTATTCCACCGATTGTTATGAAGGCCGATGGTGTCGGTGTCGCAGTTTTGAAGCACTGTCAGTTCAGCTGAACATCACGTTACAAAAGACGGTTTGGGGTACTGCCGGTGCTAACGCAATTTCACAGTAGAAATAGGAATTGCATGAAAGAACCGGACAGAAACACTTCATACGGTGGCGTAAATGCCGAACATATATCAGCGATGTCACTTTCCTCGGTTAGGGCTATCTGCTTTGTCAGCGAATGAAGAACATCTTGATAAAATAAAGAGCGGAAAATACTCCCCGTGTCAAGTTTTCTAATTACAGCCACTGGTTGATGTCGTACCGTGGTAATTCCCGGCCCTTCGGACGCGCTAGCGCTTTGTAGAGTCACATTTCCAGCGATTCCGCGCCGCACACGAACGAAGGTAAACAATCAAGATGGCGGAGTGTTCCCCGTGTTGTCCTCGCCGTCAGCACGGTGTGACAGGGTTGTCGGACAACAAATGGGGCAACACTGTTGCCGGGCGGCAGCAACATGTTGCCCGACTGTTGTTGAACACGTGTTAGCACCGCGATTGCGAAAACGTCTTCAAAACGACCGCGGCGGCCGCGGAAAGGGGATTCCCCGCCAGTCGAATGACATGAAGGCAAACGCCGATCCGGGAGCAGTGGTCATGTTCCACATGGGGATCCATCGCCGGCGCGACCCCGTTCGGATTGTGAGCTCCATTCCGGATCTGGACAACTTATCCCGGCGCGCTCCAAAACGCCCAGTGGAATTCGCCATCGGATCCAGATCAAGATCTGGAGCGGGAGCTAATCCAAAACAACCAGTGAAGCATGTCGGTCTCAATCCCGATCGCCCAGTGAAATAGGCTCGCTCCGAAAAGTCGATCCCGGCGCGCTCCAAAACGACCAGTGGAATTCGCCATTAGTTTCAACAAACAAACCGATCTCACCAAGCGTTCGGCGCATGCGTGAAGCCGCCATAACTTTAGTTCACAAGTGGCTGGCGGCGGCGGTCGAGATGGCTTGTGACGTCTCGTGCTCAGCACACCCAGAGCTCCAGCCATGTTGTTGCACGTGCAAAAAAACTAAAGTTACCTCCACGCACTGCGGCAGCGGTGGAGCAGCCGAACTGACTGGTGAGATCGGTCTCCTGACCATCACGTCAGGAATATGTCCTGACAAGATACACAAATGTGGAGAAAGTAAACATGAACTCGGTTAGGCATAACGCGTTCGAACACCTAAAAAAATCCAGTAAATAAAGATATGGGCGATAGTTATTATATTTTGTCTCATCCTACGATGAACTAAAGGCCAAAGCCACGGGTTACCATGTCCAATGACGTTCCACGCTAAACTATGACATGCCTAGCATTGGTAAGGGGTGGACGAATAATGCTCTGAACCCAAAAACGCAGCATCACTTCTATAGCTTCGGCACTGCACGCAGCCTGTACGTCGTGGCCTTTTTGCAACCTAAAATTGTTGAGTCACTCACTGCTATTTCGATTCGAACCACTGTGCGCCCATCCCCATCAGTGATCCGAGACGCGGGCACTGGATTCGTGCATCAAAGCGCAATACCACGCAATTTCTAAGTCGCTCGTGATTGAATCTGGTGGTCCGTAGCTTTGGCCTTTAGTCCATCGTAGGTGAGACGAAGTATAGTAACAGAATCTTCACCATCTTTTAAAAAATGTACAATCTCTACGTTCTTTCAAAACGATGGAAAAACACCGGAACTAAGAAAGAAAGAATTAAGATGTGCTTTAAAATAGGTAAAAACAGTTCATTACAACCCTTAATAATAAAAGGGGGAATGGAGTTAGCCCGAGTAGATAATTTCGGTTTTCGTTTTTTTTTTATATCTTCAGCGATTCTCTCGGTGCTCAGTGGCACCCGAAAGAAATGCGACTTACTCCGTGTCACGGCAAACCTAAGAGAACGTTTATTAGCCATGGCCCCGCGCAAGCCACGGGCCCACTGCAAGCGCTTGCGTGTCTCGGTTATAGCTAGAAAGCGGGAAGGCCAAAGGAGACTCACGCCATATCTCCCTCTGGGGACAAATTAGAGTTTCGACTAGTCTGTAGTTATTCCCCAAACCTCTGGGGTGCAAACATCTTTCTTCCAACCCTCGACACTGCCACGGGGACTCTGCAGTCCTGCGTCCATGTCTGTGACTGCGAAGCCTGCGGCAGTGTTGGTGGGTACTCCATGACGTCCTCCCCGGGTAAGGCAGGTCCGTCAGGCTCAGGTCGTGCTGGCTGGCCAGAACACCAACCCGTCGCGTTGACCGGAATGAGTCGGAAGTTGGTCGAGGGCTCTTCGGTTGCCATGGATGTCTTCTTGTCGTGGTTCTGACCCAGCAAGACCTGGGCTAGTCCGATTGGCGGAGGACCTCCCCTGGGCACTTGAGGTCCTTTACCTACAAAGTCGATTCGGGACTCAGTTATGGTATAGCCGTCGAGCCGCATGTTGTTGGTCCAAGTATGCCTGTTTGCGCTCTTCGGCTTGACGGTCGCGCCTAGTCACGACATTGATGTTGACTTGGCCATGCAATTACTGACAACTCCTCTCAGCTCGGACGACAGGCCTGGCCACCAGGCAGCTTTATTTGCGCGCTGCATGCACCGTCCCATTCCCGCCCTGCTCATTGGAAGCTGTCATATTCAGAAGGCGGTTGTAATCGACAAAGATGAACTCCATTGATTTTTGGACGCTGTTTACGCTTTACCTCAGAGTTCCAACTATATGCTTTAAAGATTGGTGCTCATTCAGTTAGGCCGAAAGACACAGAAGCGAATCACATTTCCTTTCGGAGAGTGAAGTTCCTTCAGCTTCTTATTCATGGCAGCCACATGGGATGAAAGGAGCTCCGTGCCCCGCGAAGCGTCCATCCCGGTAGATGACCCTGCTTGGCGATCGCTCCCTCGGCATTCTCGACATCGCCATTTGTCCCGTTTAGTTTTACTCATGGTTCTGAAAGTCTTATCGGCTACTCCGGAGCAGTGCTGGCCCAGATGGAAGTTACTTCTGCAGTCGGAGAAGGAAATGTGCCTGCCATCACTATCAATTATTTCGCTGGACACGACGCACTCAAGCCTTGGGGAAATATTGAAAGGGTAATCCATCAGCGAATGCGAAAGGTTTAGATCTTGAAACAGAAGTGTGCTAAAAGTCGTTGCTGGCCAAAGTACCCGATTAGCAACTTTGGTGCAGGCACTTCGTTCGGGCACAGAGTGGTGGTTGAAAGGCGACCGACTAGAGTTGCGCGCCTTTTTATGATTTATTATTAATAAAATAATAATGTCATTGTATAATATATATGACAAACACACAACTCCAAACACAGCTAGGTGACTAGTGCGCGACTGAAAAAATCAGCCTGCTTCTGGTCCTTTGTTCCCCTTCTCCAGGGATCATTGTCATTATTCTTCTCCAGCTCGCTTGCAGCTCTGAATTAAATGAATTATCATAAAAACCTGAAAACGCAGGCCGGTCACCTTTGTTGGTGTTAGACATGTGGCAGCTGTTAAAGACTGTTTGCTCTACTGACGCCATACTCCTGGTTAGCTGAGTTTGTAGAAAAGACTGTGAGTGCGCACGTGAGCTGGCGAGTCGTTGCCTTCTGTGTCTGTTCCTTTCGCTAAAATTCTTCATTTTTTTCACTACTGTCTCAGGTGTTAAGCTACATCATCAGTTTGTAGAGCGCTCCACAGGAAATGTAGAGGTCCCTGGTTCGACACCAGGACCAGGCTGATTTCTTCAGTCGTGCACAAGTCACCTAGCTATGTTTGGAGATTTGTGTTTCTTCATTGTTTCCTTTGTTCCCCTTCCACAGAAATTATTATCTTTAGTCTTGTCCAGCTCGCGTGCACCTTTTCATTTAATGCATTTTCATCATAACCTTAAAATGCAGGCCGTTCACTCTTGTTCGTGTTAGACTGGCGGCAGCTGTTGAAACCCGTTTGCTCTACTGACACCTGACTCCTCGTTAACTTTGCTGATAGAGCCGTCCTCTTAATTCCTGGTTCGATACCAGGACCAGTTGGAATTTTTCGGTCGTGCACCAGTCACCTAGCTGTGCTTGAAGATTTCTGTCTGTCCTTTGTCCCTCTTGTTCCCCTTCTCCGGGGATTATTTTCGCCATTCTTGTTCAGAGGGGCCGGTTCCCCCTTGCCCTCTTTGGGTGAATGTTGCCGAAGACAACATTTACCCAAAGAGGGCAAGGGGGAACCGGCCCGAATTCGGCCTCGTTGTTCCTTGTATCCGGAAGGCCGACGCCATTGGCAACGACGACTCCCACGGCTTGCTTGAAGCTAGGCCTAGATAGGGATATAGGGAACCCCATGGTTCCCACAACTGATGGCTCCAGAGAGAGAGCTTCGCCGGAATCCCGCGCGACCCCCATTGACGTCAGAGCGCACGTGATTCGGTAGATGGGGAAGGAGTTGAGAGGTGCCAAAAACCTCAACCTTCGTTCATTTTTAAAATAAAAACTAGGACATGCAGGCAAAAGCGGTTTTCTGTTCTTTACTTCAGAAAGGTCGAGACACCAACTCCCAAATTACTTAGGCAAAGCAGTTAAATTGTTGCACAGCTGCTTTAAAGTCATTTTCATCGAATAACATCTATGTGATAGGCGAATCAGCTCGCAATCCAGACTAGAAACACGCTGCGCCACCCTCTTGGTCTTTCCTCTATCTCCATTTTCCCCAAAGGCTCTTGCCTCAATCGACAGCGACAAGCGTGCAGAGGAAGCGCAGCTAAGCGAGTCCGTTTTTCTTTCCTCCATTCCCGACTTTCACGTGCTGCGCACGAGGGGCCTCGCTGATTGGTAAATCGCTCGGATGTCATTCGATGAAAATGACATTTACTCTTCAGCGTGACAGCTGTATAAAAGTCGACCGAATGAAATGGCAGACACACGTTCTATACATTAGGACGATGCACGTTTAAGTAGTCCTTTCTGCTCCTCCTTACTCCCTGCATCATCTACCGGGTTGTGCTAAAGGGAGCGAGAGGAAGAAGTTTTGGTCTGCAAACTTCAGCGCAAAAAGCAGGTCTTTTTCTTTTCGTCTTCTTCTGCTACAACCGATTCCCTACAGCCAGTTCCTTGGATTCCTTTCGGAGCCGCGGACAACGCTGCGCCTGTCGCGATATCTTTTTAGATTTGATTCGGCGAGGTGCGTTGTTTACTGTTCATAAACACAGCGGCCAGAACGCGAAGAAACGATTCGAATGTAGCGAGTTACGAGCAAAACCTTTGCCACGTGTCATTCCCCGGGGAACCTTGTATCTCTCCGTCTCAGCCTGCCGGACGCCGCACATCAGTATCCGGGTACGAAGCATCCGGGTGTTTTCATGTTAAATATGCACGCTCGTTATCCCCCCCTTGAGGTCGTTTCGCCGCTCCCCCCCTCGCCCTTTCTTTCTCTCTGCCAACGCCCTTTCGGTGCCTAGTTTTGTTCGGGCCACCGCAGAGAACTGTCGTCGTTGTCAGGGTCCATCATTTACGTTGCCAGGCGCAAAATACCGCGTCCCGTTTTCGTCCTTTCGGTTGCTTCCTTTCATTCTTTTAACGCGGATATCACGCTCTACTTCTAAAGTCAGAATGGTTGATTTGGGGCTCTTTGGCGAGCGGGGAACTGTGAATTATTTCAGTTACATTAGTCGGAGTAATGAGTAATCAACTTTAGTTCCAGTTTATCAGAATAACGTTCGAAACACCAGTCTTGTCGTCGCTTCCGCTTGCGTCAAGTTCGCGTCTGGGTTCCGAATCGAAGGAGGGACGATGGCGGGCATGCGCAAGATTGGAGAATATGTAGATGTGCTTAATGTAAAGCACGCTTGTTCCGCACCAGAACTTCCGTGAATTGCTTCATTGCGAGCACGAGAGAAATTCACATCGTCGAGCCGTGTTTCCTCGTACTTCGAGCAAACTGATGCGTTCCTTGCAGCGCATTTATAATTTATCGCTTCGAGTCTTCCACGAGTTGCCCGAGCTTCCAGCGAACCGAGAAATGTAACGCCACTAACAAACAGGCATAAACACGGGACTGTTATGTTTTGTGTGGTTCGTTTCACACTAGAGTTAGGCGATCGATCAATTAAGGCGTTCATCGCGATTTTTTTTTTATCTGGTTGGTCGCTTCAACTTGGTGAACCGAAACAAAAATAACTTCTTCCCATTTACGTTTTTCATACTTACCTCGCTATCAATTATCCAAAGCGCGAACAATATTTTGCTTGTCGGCGGGAAACTCGGAAACAACACCGTTAATTTCTGTTAAGCCAAGGCTGCTTCCGGCTTGAAGACTGTGTTAGATTTTCGAAAACCTCATCAGGTTTTCTTTGCTAGCATGCACGGCAAGCGGACGGCGTTCACGGTACGCAGGAACATGGCGTTCAGCGCGGACAGGGCGATCCATAAGGAGAACAATTCAGATTCCCAGATATAGCCATGAGTTGTGTTGTTTTTTTACCGCAGAGAACGCGTGAAGAGCCGATCTCAACGATCTCCAGAGGCTTTAAAACTAAGCTTTAAAATAAAGTATAAGACACGCGAGGACGCTATTGGGACTTTGACTCATTGAGAATCAAGCCTGAAGGCAAGCGTCATTGGAGGACCCTAGGAACGACAGCGATTGAAACGACCTAAATTAGACTGGCGGTGCGGGTTAGTTGGTTCGTACTTAATAAAACCAACACAGAACACTCACAACAAAAAGAAAGAAAGGAAGTCGTTTGACATTTTCTGTATTGACGAATTAGAGCGCAGCACTTGAGGAGGAGGAGGTGAGGGTACGGAGGTCACGGTATGCTTCTCCTCCTTCCTCCTCATCTACTCCTTCCCGGCTCCTCGCCTCCTCCCCTCTTGTCTTCCCTCTCGTCCCTCTTTCTCTTCCTGCTCCCTCCTCCTGGAGGACATTGCGTTCGTTCTTGGTGAGAAAATTACATACGGTGATGCCAAATGCACGCTGCGGAAGGGTGGAGCTTAGTGCAAGTCATGCATTCGAGAGGCACAGATTATTCTTGTTCGGTGCTGCGTCGTGAGGAAAGGCGCGAGCGTTTGGCACCACGAAAACGTAATTCCTGGTAGCGGTGTTTTAGCGAATAAAGTAGTTTCCGGAACCACGCTTTCTTGTCTGTGCCGAAAGTGCGTATCAGAGGAACCTTTACAACACAGTATGTTTTTCACATCTCCATCCCCCCCCCCCCCCCCCCCCCCCCCCCCATTTTTCGGTGCTCCCACAAAAGAACACTTATTATTACTGAGGGATTCCCTCCTGTATTTGGGCGAGTTAGTTCGACAATTAGATTTGTGTCATTTGTTAACAGTAATTCTCCATTTACTTTATTTCGCACCCAAAAATCTTTCAAGTTTAAACAAAATACTGAGGTGGTCAAGGTTTTGGGAAGAACTTGAGAACACTTCTGTGAGACTTAAAGCGGCCGCCAATATTAGACTGTT